CCACATTATCATGAACTTATTTATCTTTTTTATGCTAATCTAACTCTCATGAAACTGATGATGGTACCCCCCCCCTATCCGAACCCATGTTAAGGATTGTGATATAATTTTTTTCATCTGTAGAATTAGCTGACATTCTTAAAATTCCTGTTGGGGATATTCTTCTTCATGATGATCCCTTAGTAAATTCCTTGATATTCATTCCTGGTAAAGATTATCCCATGTCACACAAGTCCATCAATCCTACTGCTAAGTTAATTGCCAGAATCATAGCTTACAATTTAATCCCCAAGACAGGAAGCTATGATCACTTCTCTCCCAATAAGGTGGTTGTTGTTTATTCTATTTTTGCCCATATCAAAGTCAATTGGGGCTAAGTCTTTTTTGATATCATGTCTAGCTCCCACACTAAGTTCCTCCCTTTTGGCTCTTTCATCACCAAAATCATCACTCACTTTGGAGTTGACCTCTCTGATGAACCTCGTGTTGGCCCTAGCCTTGATTTCTTTAATCGTACAGCTCTTATCAGGATGGGGCTCTTAGAATCCCATCTATCTCATCCCCAAGTCTCTTCTGCTCCTTCTGGTGATGCATCTTCACCTCGCCCATCTAGTTCTAGGGCTCATCCCCGTTCTTCTAGTGCACCTTCTTCTAGCATCCCTGATTATACAGCTCACCATATTGATTGTTTAGAAGAGGGAATATATGAGCGCTTGACTGATTTTGAGCGAAGACGTGAAGAGATTCGTACTGAAGGTCAGGAATGGCATGGTGAGGTTCTTAGGAGGATTGATAGGCTTGAGAGTAGCTAGGATATAGGTTTCGCATGTCTTTAGAGTAGGCTTGATGATCTTTTTAGAATAGTGCAGTGCCCTCATTCTCCTCTGAATTCAGGGACATCATATTTGAAGAAAAATTTTATTTGGAGTTGTGTCTCTTTATTTGGACTATGTGTTTTTATTCTTATTTTGACTTGTAATTTTTTTAAAAGGTTTGAACTATGTAGTTTGGTTTGTTTTGGCTTGAACAATGTATGAGCTTATTGTAAATTATTTTGGTAATGTTGTTCTTCAACTTGCATAGCTTTCATGCATATGATTATGTGGTTGGTGCTCTATATGTTTGCTCACATATGCTTTCATGCATATACATATATATAACTCTTGTGTGGAAAATGTATAATCATATGTTTGAGTTTTTTTTGGCTTTTAAATAGGGGGAGAAATCCCTATTTCTCTGTATACTCATCTGTGCTTATAGGTAGGGGGAGCTTTTAGTTATCGTTCTATTATGTTCATCATTTTGATGTTGCCAAAGGGGGGGGGGAATCTGTGAGTATATGTTACTTATATTTGCTTATATTATGGTTTATATATTATTTATTGGTTTTATAAATATATTGAGAAATTATTTATCATCATCAAAAAGGAGGAGATTGTTAGGACTTATGTGGTGAGCCTAATTCTCTAATCTTGTTTTGATGATTTAACAAACAATTTATAATGTGTTTTCTAGTGTTTGGTTTTGATTGATTAACCCAGGTTGAATGATGCAAGAGCTGTATTGTAAATGGAGCATATACAAGTCAAGTTAAGATCCTCGATCGGGCTTCATATGCAATATATATAGTATATTGGTGTAGGATGTGTATTTTGTGTTTTAATAATTTTAAGCTCAATTATATACATACACACATTTCTTCTTTCATCACAATTTGGGTATTTTTAAGTAATCTTTGTATTATTGACTTATGGACAAAATAATCTTTGTATACATCTTATATATAGTCCATAAACCAGTTCAAAATATTTTTATAACTTAGTTTAAAACATATGTGAAAATCAAGTGTTCATACAAACACGTATTTTTGACTTTTTGTAAAACGACAAGTTTTCACAAATAGGAAATGCAATTTGGAAAATTTCTTTTCTAACATGTTTATTTTCATATTTATAAACATTTCACCAAGTTTTATAATTTTTAGAATTCATTTCATATTTTTTAAAGACATTTCAAATTTAGTTTTTTAAATAGTTTGTCATATATCAGTTTCCAGTCGACCGCACAAGGCATGCCAGTCGACCGCCCAGAACAAAATTATCTAGTTTTGTTTCTCAGGTTATTTCAGTCGACTGACAATGACCTTCCGGTCGACTAACCAGAACTCTAGTTTTAGCTATTTTTTTCTCAGGGTGTTTCAGTCGACCGACAACCTGTGTTAGGTCGACAGATGAACATCTTTCGGTCAGCCAACCTTTATCATCCGGTCGACTGAACTAGTAGCGTTGGCATAACGGCTAGTTTTCCAGATTTTATGTTTTTTATTATTTTTGTTGTTTTGTGATGATTTCTTGGGCTGGTTTCTTCTACCCTATATATACCACATTACATTTAATACTCCTAACTACCAAGAAAGTTTTAATCAAGTCTTACAAGGGTTTAAAGATTGTTTAAGTGTTGTTTTACAAGTTTTTGTGGAGAAACTTTCACAAGAGAAAGAGGAGATTGATTCTATCGGTTTGAGCTTCATTTTCATCCATCTCTCTTTCTTAAATTTCAGAGAAGATTCTTCTAAACTCAATCTCTAGCCTTATACAATTATTTGTTATTTATTTATTTTATTAAGCTGGATTTTATATTGGGTATAGTTTTTATTATTGTTCATATTGTTTCACACACACCCATATTTGAGCTTAAGTATTTTTACATATAATTTATTTAGGTTGTAATATTGAGAGTGAGCTTAATTATGTTCTCATTTTGTTTAGAGAACAAACACTTTGTATTTATGCTTAATTGTGAAATTACTTTGTAATGTACAAGTACACCGAGAGGAGTGTGTGGTGAGAGACGTGGTTGATACCAAGAGGAGTGGCGTCGATAGTAAAGCCTAAAGAGAGGTTGTAAATCTGAGCACTTGAGGGAGGCGACACATGAGAGACCAACACTTGAGGTTGTAATATGTGATTACTTTATGAGTGTTGTAAACGTTTGTCGGTAAGCGTTGAAATCTGATTGTGTAGTATCTTTTAAGATAGTGGATTCTCCCCGGGAGTGGGGAGCGGAGACGTAGAGAACTCTGCGATCATATTATTTGTTTGATTGTCACATTACGCACTATCTCTTTTGTTAGTAGTTCATATCTATATCGCCCTTGTTTAATTTCATATACTTGCTCATATCTCCTTAAATATCATTCTTGCAAGAGTTTATAATTAATAAGTTTTAATTTAGCATTAATATCTGATTAGATTAGAAAATATCTTATTTACCCCCTCTAGGGTAATTTCACTCATTCATTTCTTTTGCGTGCCATAAAATCATCAATATTAATAATTTTGGAGCATGATTTTCTAAAATTGTTATAGAATTCAATTATAACCTTCAGCAATTCAATATTAGTCATGTTGTTATGGAGTGCCACCAGAAGCAATTGATGAAAAAGAATGTGATAATCAAGAGTCTTAAGTCCCAAACTTTTTTGCTCTTTCACCTAGATATTATTTGAAATATTAGAGCAGTAACCATCCGATTTTACTGATTCGAGGACCTCACAAAATCTCTTCATCTCGACCTTTAACATTATAAGGCAAGATGAAGGCAACTCAAAATTGCTATTAGTAATTTCTCGTGCATGCAGATCATGTCTGATGTTTAATAAATTCAAGTTTAGGTGAGCCCTTAGATTATCCCTTAATTTCTTAACATCTTGTAGAAGTGTGGAAAATAATTTTTCACAAATATTCTTTTCAATATGCACTACATCCAAGTTGTGTCAGATTTTGAACTTTGCTAGTAAAGAAGCTGAAAAAGATTCTAAATTTTATCCATCTCGTAGGAAGTTCGTTAGCTTCTATGTTGTCCAAACTCTACACTTGTCTCTTCCATTTTAGTGCCCTATTCATGATAGAAATGTTCCTCGAAGCGAGAAGAGCCTCTTTTGTACATTAGTTCTTTCTAAATTTGACTTTAGAACAACCTTCAAATAATTTTACAATCTCATCTCTGGTCATTATACATAACTTCCCTCTTTTCTCTTCTTGGCCATCAATATTTTTTGCTTAGTTTTTACCTCTGTATTTATGTTTGCTCTGCAACCATCTTCTATTAAACTAATAATACATCTTTCAATTATGCTATAAATGGAAGCCTATAAAGTTTGGATCACATACAAGACAAGCATATGCCCCTTTCGTAGGCTAACTAGAGAGATTAGTATAAGCTAGAAAACTATTAATCGTCTACATAAGGATAGCACGAAGATCGAACAACTCATAGAAATACGCATCATATATTTGAACGCCCTCATCCTAGAGATGTTTTAACTCATCAATTTGTGACCACATGAACATATCTATGTCATTATCTAGTGAGTGATTGCCTCGTATCCACAATCAAAGGATCATATACGTTGTTTCATACAAAGTCTAGGTGACAAATTATAACGAATTAACACAATTAGCCATATAGGTCAATCGGAACTCATAATACCAAACATGTTGAATTCATCGCTAGGTACACTAGTACAAAACAGGTCTGTCCAAACGATTATAACCATTTGGACAAATGCAGTCCCAAACTGTTACAACCGTTTGGGCAAAAAAAAATACCCGTTTGGGCTAAAGCCGTTAGGGAAAAGTTTTCCCTAACGGTCGCCCAAACTGGTGTAACCGTTTGGGCAAAGTCCCAAATAGTTACAACCATTTGGACTAAATCCCAAACGGTTGTAACCGTTTGGGATGCCGTTTCTATCCAAACGGTCTAAATCGTTTGGATAGAAATTTGTCCAAACGGTCTAAACCGTTTGGACAAAATTCTGTCAAAACAGTTTAGACCGTTTGGCCTGTTTATTTTTAACATTTTTTTATTTTTGATTGTTTTTTCTAACTACCTGCTTACATTTAATATACACATCGCACACAATGATTTTTCAATATCTCACAATAAAATCTAAAACATATACATACATAAAAATGTCATGATTTCTTAATATCTCACAATGAAAAGCATCCAATATTATATACACGTCTCTAATATACAAGAGATTTCACATTAATATAAGAAGAGTTGTAAATTTCATTTAGTAAAGCTAAACCTCGGTGCAAAACTAGAACACTTGAACTTCTTTCTTTTGTGCAAAACCGGAACACTTGAACTTCTTTCTTTTAACCAATTCTATGTGCACGATCTTGGGCTTGCAGATCAACTTGCGGATTCCTGAGATTAATAACAATAGGGACCAATTCTATGTGCACGATCTTGGGCTTGCAGATCAACTTGCGGATTCCTGAGATTAATAACAATAGGACACCATACTTAGAACTGTGCTAAATAGTTGCAGATCAACTTGCGGATTCCTGAGATTAATAACAATAGGACACCATACTTAGAACTGTGCTAAATAGTTAAACGACCAAAAAACACAGAAAAAGTAGCCTACCAATCACTGTCATAAAGAATGACCACATCGGCAGTGTCAAGGTTAATCTCCAGCCTCCCTGCTCTTGTTGAAAGCAAGAAAATAAATTTCACTTCCTGGCTGATTGAAAGCTTCAATCGAAGCATCACGATCTTCCTCACCGGTATTCCCATCAATACGGCAATACTTATATCCACGAAACATGAGGTAGTCTTCCAAGATATCTAGCAGTCTGGTCATCTGCATTGCAGCAATAATAACTATTGAATAGCAGCAAAACAAAGATAACTACAAAATATTTAATAAGAACTATATAGAGCATGAAGAAAACTAGAAAAGTTATAGAAGAAGACTTAGAACAAGTTAAGGACTCATTTTATACAGAGCAATCAGCTCCCGGTAAAAGATCCTATATTGATTGTCCCAGTGCACATACAAGCCAAAGAATCCCACAAGTTATTCATTTAGAAAGAAATAAAAGTGAGAGCAATACCTGTGAAAATATAAGAACTCTTGAACCCCGATCTTTAAGCTTTGGAAGCAATTTATCCAGCAGAACCATTTTTCCTGCAGAGATGGTTGTGGTCAAAATAAGGTTGCAATAAAATCAATATAACATCAAATTTAGTTACCTGCATTTGTGATTAGGTGATCTCCTATAGTGTATGGTGAACCAGGTTCAGCACCTTGGAACAAATACGAGATTACAACACTTACGCAGCTACATGGCAATGTTCAAAAGGTGCTTACGCTCCCCATCAGCATTTACAACTTCCAAATCTTTCTGAAGCAAAGCACGGTAGTACTACTTCTGCATCTGGGACATTCCTACTTTAAGTATAATCTCCTTCTTTGAAGGCAGTCCCTTTTCAACATCAGATTTAAGCCTACGTGTGACGCCCCTGGGTTCACACAAGGCTGCAGTCCAAGGTGAAACCAAGAATGTCAAACCTGCTATGCACCACACCGTGCAATAACATGTTTCACCATCATAATTAACATCTATCTAGTAGAATCAACAACTGGTGTATGTACAAAACAGGTGAGAGGTAATGCAAGAAATACTGATGAAATAATAATAGTCACTTAAATATCTCATCATCCAACCATACAGAAATACATAGTCAAGATCTGAGTAGATAAACTGAAATACTCAACAAGTCTCAAATACAAACATCTGACGATAAGGATATAAGGCTCACAGCCTTTACAACTTCTAGAATAATACCCTCAAATGTTTAACCTCACTACAGTGGAGCCCAAAGAAAAATAATACATAACTAGAAAGCAAAGCTGGACACTAATGTGGTCCGCTATCAACCTGCGGCTCTTCGTGCTCCTGGCTCGTGACCTGAAAGAGGGAGGGACAACGAGCGTCAAAGCTCTAGCGAGTAACATCATAACCAACCCCAAGGGAACAGGGCTCGTTGTATAAGAAAATACAGATAATATATATTAGATCTAGAATCATTAATCCTACTAAAGATGGTTTTAGTATTTAGAAATTTACAACACGAGCATAGGTACGTCGAGCGAAATAATCCAAACAAGGAAACCCTCATGTATATACCTGGTATCTCAAATTGTAAATCTCTAAACACCAAACCCGAGGTTCTAGTACAGAAACAATAATAAAAGAAATACAGCTATTCTCAGAACAATATACAGTGCCATACCATAGCTAACATGAATACCATGTTATTACTTACATAAGTGTCATGTCAACATCATGTCGTGAACTTCTGTGAAGAGGTCATGTGCAGGGTTAAGGACCTTGTCCAAATCAGGAAAACTATCTACATCGTAGTTTCCAACTCATAGAATAAGTGTCAAATGTCCAACACGAGGACTGGAATGAATTTATAGTCCATCACGAGGACTTCCATGGATTATAGTCCAACACGAGGACTGTGAAACTGTGAAACATGTCGCGGTGATATATAGTGAAATCTAAATCACATCACTTCATAATCATATCAGTGTATATATTCACAATTGGTACCCTCAGGTCATCCATCATGCCTGGGTACATAGTAGGACTAAATACCAATGTCAGATAGTCCAGACAGACTCCCAAACATGAATGAAATGTACAAAAATACCCAAAACCAGGAAAATACCACAGACAGAGCGTCGGTCGACCAGTGCAAGTTTTGAAAACTCCATTAAGAGTATATAAGTGCTGACACAAACAAGTGAGGGTATATAAGTGCAAAATAGAGAAAACTAGACGATATTTAAGTGCAATTAAGCCATTCGAAATTAGTCACTCAAATCATTTAAATTGCTACTACATCCTCCGAAGTATCCTAATTTGTAAATTCAATGATTCAAGGGTGGGAGTCAACAGGGACTACCATCGCAACAATACTAGCAAATACTTTGCATAAACCCTAGAAACCCCCCACCGCCGCCTCTTTTGGCACCGCCGCCTCTTTTGGCACCGCCGCCGACGCCACCGTCAGCGCCTCTGCCGACTAGATTCCAAGTCCCCCGCCGCCGTCGAGCTCTGTTCCAATCTCCGTCGTTGCTTCTCTCAAAAGGTACTCTGCTTCCCTCTTTGTTAACTTCTGTCCTGGTTCAATTTGTAGCTGTAGATTCGCCCTAGACGCTTTTAGGGTTTGAATTCATTCTTTGTTGGTATACGATCAGATTGTGTTTGTTTGGGTAGACCCCCTAGAGGAACTCAAGTTTGAGTTTATATTGAAACCTCTAGAGGTCTGAATTTTGTCAACTATTATTCATGAATATTTATATATATATTAAAAATTCACACATGTGCAATTTCGCGTAATCCGATCAGTTGTCGCATAATCTGATTAACCATGTTTTTAAAACCTTGCCACTTACATCCTAACATGATATGCATGTTTAAATTCTAAGTTTCTTGTTGTTCTTTTCTGCTAAATCAGAGTGAGCGTCGAAGATATGAGAATGTGTATATGGAGCAGCATTTAGGTTAAATATGGGGTAACTTACAATGAGTTCGTCTGTGTGGATCGTGTTAGATCTAAATCAAAACTTGAGATCTAAAACCATATAGCCATGATTAATTCAAAGAGATTAACAATAATCAAAAGAGCGGAAGCTTATACCTGAATCCATGGATGAAATCTTGATTTGGGTTTTTGATGATCTTCTAACCTTAGGGTTTCTCTAAATCCGAATTTCTCTAGCTAGATGGGGGTGTAGAGAATTAGAGAATGTAACCCTAGGTTAGGGACCATAACCCCTTATTTATAGATGTTGTACTTTTGTAATTTAGCCCCTCAATAAATCACAATTACAACCTGGTATCTGCACATATAACCCCATGATTATATTTAAATACCCATTAACCCAACTTAATTGATCACTTTAGTGGGTTATCCTGAAAGATAGCAATACACATTGATTAATCATATGTGCCCACAAATAGATTTATTAGATTAAATCCAACAATCTCCCACTTGGGCACCATATGATTCCTTAAACTGTGTATAACCTTATGAGCTCAAAAATTGCTATCACTGAAATGGTATTTCCGAACAATCTCGTCCATTGACTATATCAATATAGGATCAAAGCGGCCTTCGTCACATTTATCGTGACTCGACCCATCAATGGTCACATATACCAATACAATCAAACGACATAGATCAATCATGGATGTGCAGCATGAAAATTACATGCAATGTGATCAGTACATGTCTATTTTCAACTGGTCCTCCTTAGTGAGGTCAAAACCAAACATAATGTAACAGAGTGTCTTAACTGAATACTTTATTCTGATCAGACAATACAACCAAACATAAAGCACCACAAATACAAACTCCCACTAAAACATAATATCCTCAAATAATACCACACCCATATGAGCAGTATGCTCATGAAAGACCTTAGGTGGCAATCCCTTAGTAAGAGGATCAGCTATCATGGAGTTTGTCCCAATGTGCTCTATGGATATCTGTCCACTCTGTACCCTTTCTTTCACAACCAGGAACTTAATGTCAATATGTTTTGACTTAGTTGAGCTCCTGTTGTTATTGGAATACATTACTGCAGATTTATTGTCACAATATAGCCTTAGTGGTCTTTCAACATTTTCCAAAATGCGCAGTCCCGTGACAAAATTTCGCAGCCATATTCCCTGATTGGATGCCTCATAGCAAGCTACAAATTCTGCTGCCATAGTGGAGGAAGCTACTAGTGTTTGTTTGACACTTTTCCATGATATAGCTCCTCCTGCTAACATATAAATGTAGCCTGATGTAGACTTCCTGCTATCTTGGCATCCAGCAAAATCAGAGTCCGAATACCCAATGACCTCTAATTTCTCTGATTTTCTGTATGTGAGCATGTAATCTTTTGTTTTCTGAAGATACCTCATAACCCTTTTGACTGCTATCCAATGATCCATACCAGGGTTGCTTAAGTATCTGCCTAACATCCCAACAATGTACGCAATATCCGGACGCGTACATACCTGAGCATACATTAGACTTCCTACAGCCGAAGCATAAGGAATCTTCTGCATTTCCTGAATTTCAAGGTTACCTTTAGGGCACTGATTGAGACTAAACTTGTCTCCTTTAGCAACAGGGGTGTCACCTGGTCTGCAATCTTGCATGCCAAACCTTTTAAGTACCTTATCGATATAGCTCTTTTGTGATAATCCAAGAATACCCCGAGAGCGATCTCGATGTATCTGGATCCCTAATATAAAAGAGGCGTCCCCAAGATCTTTCATCTCAAAATTCTTTGATAGAAATCTCTTGGTTTCGTGCAACATGCCTATATCATTAGTGGCAAGCAAGATGTCATCCACATACAGAACCAGAAAAATATACTTACTCCCACTGAACTTGTGATATACACAGTCATCAACAATGTTCATCTCAAAACCGAACGAGATAACTATTTGTTGAAACTTATGATACCATTGACGAGGAGCTTGCTTGAGTCCATAGATGGATTTCCTTAATTTGCAGACCATATTCTTTGGGTCTCCCGACACAAAGTTTTCTGGTTGCACCATATAGATCATCTCATCAATGTCTCCATTGAGAAATGCAGTCTTAACATCCATCTGATGTAACTCAAGATCATAATGAGCAACAAGTGCCATGATTATTCTGAAAGAGTCTTTCGATGAAACCGGAGAGAAAGTCTCTGTATAATCAATGCCTTCCTTTTGAGTATAGCCTTTAGCCACAAGACGTGCCTTATACCTCTCCACATTACCGTTTGCATCCCGCTTGGTTTTAAAAATCCATTTACAACCAATTGGTTTTGCACCTTCTGGTAATGGGACAAGTTCCCAAACCTTATTGTCTTGCATAGACTTGTACTCTTCATTCATGGCATCAATCCACTGTTGAGAGTTAGAACTTTTCATGGCCTGAGAGAAGTTGATTGGATCATCTTCTAACATTCCACTACTTTCCTCATGTTCTTGGAGAAATACAATATAATCATCCGGAATAGCATTTCTCCTTTCTCTCGTGGATCTCCTTAATGGCACTGGTTCTTGAGGTTGTTGAGTTTGTTCTTCTGGAACAGGGAGTTGTTCAACATTATCATCTTGAGGTTCCGGATTTACTTCTTGAGCAACAACAGGTATAGGAACCTGAATATTGTCAAAAGTAACTGTATGGATTGGATCTGAAGCCAATTCCTCCTCAAAACTAATGTCTCTAACCTTATTTCTCCCCCCAAACTCAACATCCTCAAAGAATGTTGCTGTTCCCGTCTCAAAAATGTTCCTTATAGTGGGATCATAAAACTTAAAGCCCCTAGAGCGTTCAGAGTATCCAATAAAGTAGCTGCTAACTGTTTTGGAGTCCAATTTCTTTTCATTTGGCCTATAAGGCCTTGCCTCAGCTGGACATCCCCAAATATGTAAATGCTTTAAACTGG